GTCCATAAGATCTTCTTGAAATACTGATTAATTCTCAGAACAACTCGATATTACTATTTTTCAATTTTAATATGTATTTACGAGAAAATTACATATCCAGAATTTTATTGAGATATTCGTTTTTAGCTAAATTTTACTTAGCTGAAATTGAAGTTTCCATTCTTCATCCGCGGAAACGACAAAGTTCATTCGGAAACATGGGAAATATCATTTGTTTCCGATTCGATTAATTTCATTTCGCGATATCATTGCCGTTCCCGCTGAATCGTGATATTTTTTCGCATTGCTTCAATCGAGTTTCGTAAACTCCGCAGCAGAGTTTAATTAAATATTTGTTGGAATGTATCCGCTTGCAACAACCCGTTGTAACATATTACCTGACGTTTGATCGGCTGGTTTGGTTAATGTGATTTACTTCTGTTCTATCTGTGATTGTTTTTCATCATATTTCCGTCGAATGACTGCGTTGTGCATTCAATTACTTCAAGCATGAATCTCTTGATCCGTAAAATATAATAATAGTATTGAATATTGATTGAATATTTTTTCCAGATAAACAATTAGACTGTTTGAATTATTAATATGCTTATATATATGAAAGCAATAACCTGAATATTAAATAGAAGTATTGCAGGTTTGAATAAAGGATAAATCTGTGAATATGAAGGGATCGTTGCAGTTTGTTTCTACAAACGAATTTCTAAAGGTTTACAATATTAAAGTTAATAATTTTATTTTGCTCTTATATGCAGGAAAACAGGGCATTATTTTTGTGTCAAAAATGATCTCTTCTTTATTTCCCATCTTTAACTTCGAAACTTTATTTTTATTCACTTTAATAGAGAAATCACGACAATACATTTAGTATCTATTATTTATAAATTTGTCTTCGATATATACCGTATGTCGAAATACTTTTTTCTTGGTATGCCTTTCTTGTTTCCGTCTTCTCTACGTTAGAGCGTAAAAAGACCAATAGAAAATTAGGACACCTTTTCGAACCTGCAGTGCCTTCAGGCACGATGCACTGCGACGTTGCAAAATGTACACGTCACACCTACCGCTCTCAAAAAAAATACCTTGACCATAATTCCCCAGTGTCCTTGGTTTGAATGTAATGGGTTTCTTTACTAACATGAACGATGAAAATTTAAAAGAAGTCTCTTCTTCCTCGGGATCCAAATATTTTTGATTCTTAAAATGATTGAAGACGTCAAATAAGCCTTTCATCTTCAAGTAGCCAAGGAGTTGTCAGTAAACTGTCTTAAAATTAAGTAGAGAATCTCAGACGATAGATAGGATTATTTTCAAAACGTTGTTATAGGCGATAATATTTACATCCCATAAAACTTTCACTTTGAAAGATCGATTGATGATTTATGAATCTTCGTATAAAATTTTTCTATGAAACTTCCAACAAAATTCATAAATTTATCGTTAGACCTGGTTTTAGGAAAAAATTTTTAAGTTAGATAAGTGAGTTAATCAAATTACTTAATTAACACAGTTTTAAGATCCCACACAATGAGAAAAAACAAACAGAATGTGCTCAGTTTTCTCAATTCACCTGTTTCTCTCTTTTACCCCCGAATCGTTTGCAAAATACAGTCATCAACAAACATTCGCAAAAACAGCATTAGTATCGCTGACGAATCCGACGCGACGCGAAAATTGGTTATAACAATCCCCATTATGCAGAACTGAATTTTATGGAAGGCAAAGTTCACTCGCTTTTATCCGTATTATATCGTAATTCGCAATCATTTGCTCCAGCAATCCTGCCGATTGCCTAATATTAATTTAACGAACAATAGTTGCAATCGACACGTACAACCAACAGTCGAACCTGTGTTTCGCAGATCCAGATGAATTGATAAAACAATCCATGAATTCGGATTCGCGACTGTATACCAGCTAAAACGAATATTCCATTAAACACCCCGTTGAGCCCAATTTAACTTATATGCATTGTCAACAATACCAGTCCTTTATTCAAATACGTTACGTTTGCGCCGCAAACATTGCGGTTTGTCGCTATATAGCCGTCGCGTCGCCCCGGCTGAACGCGTTGATTTCTCGGACGGTGATGTTACTACTCACTTTAGCCTTATCGCAACGTTATCAAAGCTGTTTGATGATCCTAGTTCAATCGAAAATATAATTCATTCATTCGTAGGAAATTATCTTAGAAATTAGAGGTTCTAAATCAGAAGATTGGTATACGTATTTTTAGAATTACATCAATCAAAATATTAATATATGACATATACCTTTACCAAATAATGTTTATGAAAATTAATATCAAGCAATTTGTAATCAAGTTTGTATTATGAAAATGGCATTCTTACAAATAAAATTTTCATAAGTAATCAATATTTGTTATTTCAAATATAAGCGAGATTTTCTGAATTTCGTAAACGTGTTTAATATATCCAATTTACGTTTGATATCGCGTTTCTGTCATGTGCAAAAGCATATCGAATTTAATTAATACGTACGTTAATTAAAATGAGGAAAACGCTCATTAAGTATTATATCGATATGTAGGTAAATATATCAAATAGATCTCCTAAACCATTCGTAGAAATGGCTTTTTAATTTTCCCACATTTTTATCTTGCATTTCGTATTTCACAAAATTATCAACTTGCGTGCGTGCACGCTATTAAATCACTAACATAAAAATATAAATTTAAATACCGACGATTAGTCCAGTTAAAATTTAATTTATATTTTCTTCATACTTTCTAATCTCCTACGTATCCACCATTACAAACGCCACCACAAAGTCATAAATAACACCATGAACAGAAAAAAATAGATTTTCAAAATAAAAAGGAAAAACCCCCTAATGAATGAAAAATCTTTAAATTTAAAATACATTCACAAGTAACCCCTTGCACTCGAATATCTTGTGAAACTCTTAACGAAAATTTCAAATAGAATCTAATAAATATAAATGTCACTTAACTCTTTTAAGTCCAACAGAAATATTTACTCTTCCATTATCAATTATAGCGCTTTGCAGTAAACGTAGACATAAAATAAGTGTGGATTGTCCTCTTTTTCTAATGAATTGTAAACAATGAAATCGTTTCATCGATCGCAGTTGTGAAAAAAATCCCAATTGTGCTCAGCAGAGATATTTTATTCTTCATAATTCATTAGAAAAACAGTGTTAAGGCCACTTATAGCCTTACCGTTTCGTTCGGGCCCTTAAACCGTAGTTTTAGTTTTGTATACACTTTTATCCTTTCTAAGACTTATGTGTACATTTGGTAGTTTTTTCGTAACAATAAGAGCCTTCGTCCCGTCGCAACTTGCAATCGTCCTTACGGTATTACGAGAAGGGACCGTGGCAACCATAAATTCCTGAACCCATAAGGCCCGCGATTCTTACTGGAGATTTTCCTTGTAAAATAACTTACCTATAAGGTGATGTGTTAGTCCCCTGCAGGGGACTGGCATGACAGAGGGGTCAGAATGGAAACACCCTGCGAACGATACGGTTAGGAGAAGTTTGCTACGCATTCCTAATAAAAAACACCTTTCCGTGTCCCCGAGTGAAATAGACTCCGTCATAGGTTGAAGGGTCGTATCCCCCGTCAGTAATTCAATATCACCGCAAGACGCGCGCGGAAATTCTACGAACGACCCCTATCGGCATACGAGACACACTCGTAAATTCGTTTCCGTCATTACCAGGAGGCGCGACTCGTAAATCGAATGAAACTGTTTCACGTTTCCTTCGGCCAACGGAACGTCGCGTGTGTATTAAGGACGCGTAATATGCTCCTTCCATTTCGCGTCTTTTACGGACGAACGGCGACGACGACGGTCGATCTGTCAGCAGCAGTCGCTCCGCGAAGGGTGCAGCTTGATTTACACTTTCTCTTGCCTCTCGCTCCGCTGTTCCTGCCACGTGCCCCTGAACAATTTCGATCGTTGATTATTGAACTTTTGTTCGTGACTTTTTTATGTGTTTTTGTTTGATTTGGAGGGAATATAATGGGTGTCTCATTTTAGTCTGCAAATGCAATCGTTTCTGGAAGTGTTTGTTACTTAATTTATCACGGATAATGATAGTCATTACAGACGAATTTTTATATTAAGGTATAGAGTACATTTTGAATGTAAGTTGTCATAATATTTCTACATCGTGTACAATAATTTTATTTTATTCTTTTGAAGTATGAAACTGTAAAAGAAATTGCATTTTGACAAGAGGGGTTAAATGTCTTAAACACGATCTTTTCTAATTTCAACGGTTTTTAATTTAGATGGGGTAACATTTTTTTGTAGAGAATTACCTATATTAATTGATGCAGATAAAATTACATGGTTACACTTGAAACGATAGTAATTACGTTCGTTTGTTTTTACACGTCCACTTAGAGACAATCCGAATTTACCAAAACTGTCCCCCTAAACAGAAACAGCTACAAATCTCCACCATTAACATTCCTATAATTCCATTAACCTTTCAAACGTCCAAAACTTCATTATTTCGAAGATACTAAAAAGAATGCACTTTTTCAGCACATATTAGTACTCCCTGTTAAATTTTAACATTACCCAGATTCCCATCTCCCGATTTCAGCGAACAAAACATAGCTGATGCCTCGAATATTGGCAGACGCCGAACATCAAGCTGCATAGTCTTTGATTTCTCTCGCGTGCAGAGTAGGTCAACGACTCACGGCGAGAATAACAGTTTTCCACAGGTCCATTTTTCACCGACGTCGATCTTTCACCGTCCTTCCGTTCCTTCCGCGTCCCGGATGCTGCCCGTTTTTTTGCGCATCTTCACTTTTTGCCATCACGATTCAAAGCAAAACTCCTCCACTGTCATCTTCCGTGTTCCCCCGTGCTTCCGGCGGCCGCAGGAAGGAGAACCCAGACACCGAGACGGAGAACGTCTGTTTCCCGTTTGAACGCGGGACACCCTTTATGGTCCGGCGCGGCTTCTATTTACACGGGACATTCTGCTTTCTGTTTCAGCGTGAAAACGGACATGGGCAGTAGCGGCGCGATATCCAGGCTCTACATCGCGAACGCGAACAAAAAGGACAGCGGGAACTACAGCTGCGCCCTGGCGGATGTCGCGGCGGCCACCACGGTTTCCGTCCATGTGCTGAATGGTATGTTTGAACCTGTGTTCCGTTATCGTTAGGTAAAAGTTCTTTGAAATAATAAAGAACAGCCGGAGAATTTAATCGGATTATTATTTGCGGATAATTAATTATTGCTGCAAATTATTACGTTTGAAATAACGAAGAGCAGTGAAGAAATTTAATCAAATTGTTACTTGCAAATAACTAATTAGTATTGCGAATTATTGCGTTTGAAATAACGATGGATAGTGGAAAAATTTCATTTGATTGTCATTTGCGAATAACTGATAATTAATGATTAATAAATTAATAAGTAAGACGTAATTAATATACTTATTCGTGATTTTGAATAACGTTTGCCCAGCTCTACAAATAATAACGTAAGAAAAGTAAATGACATTGCTTTGTTATTAACTGAATTTGGATATGTGAATAAGCAATGACGAATTGTATTTGATTAATGAATAAAGTCTCACCATATAAATAACGAATAACTTGAATAACAGGTAACCGGATAATGATTAATTATTATATTCTTGTTACTGTTTTTCAAATAATGTTTTACTCGAGTAATATCTAACATTGCGTCTCGCCATTGCCGCCAATTTATTTCCGAGCTTTTTTGTCCTCGCTTCCGCGGCTATTCTTGCGAATCACAGCCGCATTGCCGTTAATTCAGGAATTAACTTAACTAATTGGGAAAGCATGTTATACAGCGAAAGAAAGTTTTTATTTGCGAACATAATGAAGCAAAAGAAGTTTGCTACTGAAGACAATAACAGTTAATAGGAAGTAAAGCTCGTTGAAACAGAAGACGTATTAGATATATTTTAAATTCATATTAAAAATTTGACTTTGAAGTACAAAGTCTGAACACAGAAAATCTAAATGAAAGTGTGTTTGATTTAAATATTGAGATAAAGAGCAGAATTCGTATCAGTTTTATAACTTGTTCTATAACTTGTGAATTATATAGATAGTAGAAAGAAGCTATTTGCACTTTATATTTCAAACAATTTACTCCTAATAATTACTATGCATCTTTGAAATCCATTAAATATTGATATTATTAATATTATTTTAGTATTTTGCGGATTATGCAATTTAAATTTAGTCATTTTTTCTGCAAACGTCTCCTGAGAAAACGGACAAACTTTCCTCAACAACACACTGAACACTTCATTTATTACATTTTATATTTCATTACGTTGCACTATTGTCCAGTATTTTCCTTGGACTCTGTCCAATCTCCTCTTAACATCCATTCTTCTATCTAATATCCTTTTCCGCTTACTCATATTACACTTTGGAACGGACTGCGTGAAGAAGATACAAGTACCATCCTCGGCAACAAGAGCTTCCCTCGTATAAAATTCTATAACTTCGGGATCGGTTCTGTAATTTAATATCCTTGATGAGACTTCCTTGGATCGTGTTGACTCATCCCTTTGAGCGTATTTAAGTATTCCTCCTTTAATTACTTTTTGACAGACTACCTTATAAGGAAACTTTGTTATGGCTGTAATTTTGAGTTCTAAAAAATCCGACGCGACATTAATTCACTGTCTTCTCAACCCCAAGTTTGTTACCTCTACATTAATTGTGCCTTACACTGAACGACAAAGTGGCGTTTCAAAAATGTTTGCTTTAAAAATCAAATTTTGTAATTATATATTTAATTCTTCCTTAGAAGCAATCTCTTAAAATAAATTAATTAGAAGATCTGAAACAGAACTAGTGAAAATGTTGGACTGAAACATTTTCAAAATAACTAATTTTAGTTTCTTTACTTTGCAATTATTGATATCGTCGAAGTGTTAATTATCCTAAGTTGTTGAGAAATCAATTCTTTTACTTAGTTAATTTAATTTTCATAAAAACTCCATGTCAATTACACTCGTATTAATTGCATCAGTTCTAACATTAAAAAGTATCACACTTACAAAATCCTCCCATAAACCATAAAATATCGCCTATTTACATCACTAACAAATACAACAACAAAAAATACCGAAAATCCCCTTCGTTTTACTTTACTCGTATTTTCATAAAGATCATAGTCGTCTTGCATCTGCAAAAATGGAACGTCAAGATAATCTTTCGCGAAGGGACGTGTGAATTTTTCATTTCCGGTCGCAATAAAGTCGTTCGAGGGATCAAGGATCAAAGTGTCGTCTTAAATAATTTCCTTCGCAACGATAAAGTTCCGAAATTATTCATGCCGTTCAAAACCGCCGCGAAAACTTTTGAACCGATTTCTGCTCCGGGTGTCCGGGAACGTTCCCGTTTTTTCCTACGGAGTTTATCCCGAACTAAAAATGGTATCGTTGGTTATTAAAATGTCACCGTGAAAGAATTTGCCGTGTTTCGGTCGGACGCGTCGCGTAATTTCCGGCCGGTGAGATTTTGTTTCGCGGCCTGTTCGCGAGATAGCACGATGAATACGACGGCCGCCGCGAGTACTGCCAGCCCGACACGCATAATTTTCAGTTACGTCGCGTAATTCACTTTGACGTATGTTCAAAGCCTAGCCCGGTGAAAAAATGTACGCTGCCATCGGATGTACCTAATGCAAAAGAGCGGTCAGCCTTCAGACTCTTTATAGCCCGGTCTCGTTGTAATCTTAATCCTGACTGTTCCCATGAATAAACATGAACCGTGTCCACGGAAAAATTGCGATCGTTGGTTCGCGTGTTCCCGTGGAATTCGATATCTCTTTTTCGGGCTGCTGCAATTGCCGCGTGGAACTCTGTCCGTTCAAATTAACTAAAGTGGGAAAGAGTTTTTTTGGTCTCTGTACTTCCTGTTTTCTTTGTGAAAAGTGCGGAGGTATGAACGATCGTGTTTATATTTTCACTTGTACTCTTGAGCTTTTGGAATTCTGAAGTGAAAATAGCATAATAATATATTATACCAGACAATGCATGAGACAAAATATATTCTTTATGTTATGTAGGATGAAATTATAGGAGACTAAATATTCTTTTGTTATCGTAACAAGTTAATGCGTATAATTCAGTAAAATATTTATTCAATCTCGTATGAATGAACCAGGAATGATCATAATATAATGTCAATATCTTACATTAATACATATAAACCACTCCCTAATAATTATAAATACATCTAATTCCAATAGAACAATTCTTCAAACATTCAACACTATACCCGGTAAATACCAAAGTTCACCAATAATCACCGCCATTCTCCTCGCGTCATTTATTCGCTACAACATTCACACACCTCAAAAACTTCAAACTTGACACTAATCACGCTGAAAAAGGCACAGGATTACCTCATGACCTTCCTCCGCAGGTTTCAAAATACTCCTTCCGCAGTTGATTCGGCTCGACCTCGTCAGCTGTCCTTTCTCATTTCCCTTCCGGTTTCCGATCCTCGGGGTAACCGCAATGTTTCGCATGCCCCGCCGCGCCCACCTCCCTCTACATGGCGTATTCATGGAAAAGTTCGCCGGAGATATTCAGGTCGAGTCATTTCCCTCTTCGAGTCATCCCCCTTTTCGACTCCGCTCCTTTTCCCGCAATCTTCTCTACCGCTTTCCCGTTTCCTTACTCGTTTCCTCGTCATTTCCCCTCTACCCCTTTAGCTTCTCGCTCGCTCGCTCGCTCGCTCAGCGTCACGTCTTTGAATCCAGCCCCGTAGTCCATGTATCCCGGCGAGCTTTGTATTTTCGCAGAAAACGACAAACGCGAGCACACTCGTCTCTGATCCATTTTTCCGGTATAAGCGGAGCCGCTTGTCTCCGTTTACGCCGGCTAATATCGAGACGTACCCGGGACAGAATTCCTTTATCTTATTCCTCGAACCCTCCGCCCTCGCTGCGCTCCGTAATCAATGAGCCCTGTCGTCTGTGCGACATACCGTGTAAGTGGGCCACTCGTGTTACTCTTCTTTGGTATAGGGTACTCTTTCTTCTAGAGTGTCTTCTTTCTCTGAAGCTTTTGTGAACTTGGCCTGTAACTGCGAGTTCTGTCTTCTTTTGTTACCCTTACTTGCAGGAGCATGTTAATTTTCTATGGTGATGCGCCTTAAAATTGTTAACGGGATTCTGAATAATAGTAATTGCAAGTTTGAATTAGAGTACTCTTTCTTTTAGACTCTAGAGTGTCTTCTTTCTGTGAACTGGACCTGTAACTGCCAGTTTTGTCTTTTTTGTTACCTTCGCTTGTAGGGGCATGTCAATTTTCTATGGTAATGCATCTTAAAATTGTTAACTGGATTCCGACTAATAGTAATCGCAAGCTCGAACTTTTTTCTTTCTTCTAGTGTATCCTCTTTCTGTGAAGCTTCTGTGAACTGAGCCCGCGACTGCGAATTATATTCTAGTTCCTATTTTATCTTCTTTTGTTACCCTGACTCGTAAGGAGAATGTTACTTTTCTATGGTAATGCGCCTTAAAACTGCCAACGCCGTTGTAAAGAATAATAATCGTAATTCTCAAGTTATTTAGTGTTCCTTTCCCTTTTAGAACGCCTTGTTTCTTTGAAGCCTCTCTGAACTTGGCTTGTAATAACGAGTTATATTCTTGTTCTCATTCAGTTCTCTTTTGTTACTTTTATCATTACTTTTTTGTAGTAATGTAACTCGCGATTACTGACGGGATTATAAAGATTAATAGTCGAAATTCTCAGGCCATTTAAAGTTTTCTTTCTTTTCAAATGTCCTGTTTCTTTGAAACTTCTATGAACTTGGACCATAGCACTGAGTTACACTATTATTTTTATTTTATCTTCTCTTGCTTTTATCCTAAGTGTTTTCTATGGCGATGTTAATCGAGACTGTCAACGGCACTGTGAAAATCTGCAGCCGCAGTTTTAAGACCTTCCAGTGTTTTTTTCTCTTGAAGAATGTCCTCTTCCTTAGAAACTTCCTTGAATTTAGCGTGTAATAAGGAATTATACCCTTATTCCCATTCTGTTTCTTCATCCTGTTTTTCTGTTCTTCGTAAGTGTAACCAAATTACTTTTTAAGGTAACGCAACTATCAACAGAGCTACGAATCGTTTCATTCACTAACAATTCGTTGTAGCCTTCTACCC